AGACTTTCTTCCATAATATCCTTAAAGAAGGTACTTGGCCAGGGCATGAACTCCTGGTTTCCATCTCCGGATACACTGCCCGTGTGTATACAGCTCACATCTGCCGTTAGCTTTTCTATTCATAAATTCTAGAATTCTAGAATTAATCCCAAATAGATCCGGTAAGTCAGTGAAGGCGATACATTGTACTAATATGTTTTGTGGTCAGCGTTTGAGGAGAGGTTTATTATTGTCAACGTATAAAGAAAATCACCCATTAGATCACTTAATAATTAAAGCCTTCAAGCACAACTTTTAGAAACTAAAATGTATTAGTTTGGTTTAAAAAGATTTTTTTTAATGTTTATTTATTTTTGAGAGACAAAGAAATAGATTGTGGGTGGGGGAAGGAGCAGAGAGAGAGGGAGACACAGAATCTGAAACCGGCTCCAGGCTCTGAGCTGTCAGCACAGAGCTTGATGCGGGGCTCGAACTCATGAACTGTGAGATCATGACCTGAGCCGAAGTCAGATGCCTAACTGAGTCACCCAGGCGCCCCTAAATGTATTAGTTTGTAATGCTTTCTACTGCAAATGATGGAATACCTGACCCATAGAGGCTTAAACAAGCAGGGATTTATTTTTTTTCACCAAGCAGGAAGTCTGGAGGTAGGTGGCTGCTGGGATTCATTTAAAGGCTCCGCTTTGTCTGAGCCAGCATCTCTGGGATCACCTCCCTCTTTCTGCTCATGATCACAAGGTGGCTGCTGTAGCTCCAGCCATCACGTATGCATCTCATGGCAAGAAAGGTGATCCGGGGCAGCGTCACTTATATTTGTCCTTCGGCTCAAGTGGAAACAAGCCTTTTCCAGACTCCCAGAACAGACTTCTGAAAAGGAAGCTGAGGAAACAAGTGGAGTGTTGGCCTTTTCTGGCTTCTAAATGGAGACCAGGAAAGGAGAAACAGTTTGGGAATGGATGTACTAATCAACTGCAGTGAGCTGGTGATCTTACCTGACTTTGGGGGAAGTCATTAGAATTCTTTTTATTGATTGGTGCTTTGAGTTTAATTAGAGAAAAAAAATCAAGAGTTTTCTGAGGAAGAAACTGCACATCTTTTTAGATCTTACGGACTTAAATTTTATTTTCTACTCTACTGATTTAAATATATTATTAAATATGAAAAACCAGGATGCCTGGGTGGCTCTGTCTGTTGAGTGTCCAAGTCTTGGTTTTGGCTCAGGTCTGTGGGATTGAGACCAGCTTTGGGCTCTGCACTGACAGAATGGAACCTGCTTGGAATATTTTTTCTCCCTCACTCTCTGCCCCTCCCCGGCTTGGGCTCGCTCTCTCTCTCTCTCTCTCTCTCTCTCTCAAAATAAATATCCAACACCAGTCTTACTGTTATATTGAGCTGATGGCTAAGAATCATGAGCATAACAATTTTCCAGCTTAGGTTTGGAAAGAGAGGAAAATTAGCTTAAAAAATGTTTGAAGTTTTCTTTGACTTGGCTTTTTTGTTTTTACATTCGGGGCTTCTTTTTGAGTGATTTAGCTTTATTAAAAAGTAATGGGAGCTTTCATGCTCTCATGGTCCTGAGCTCTAAGATCCCACTATACCTGAAGCAATTTTGTTGCTATGTTCTCTGGGAGGGTCACAGAATCTTCCCGAATGACATTTTTTTCCTCTATAAAAGTACAGAAAACAAGAAAAGGGAAAATGAATTCCTAAAATGAATAGGATATGAAGGGAGGAAAAAAAATAACTGTTCATGGAGCAGAAGCCAACCAGCCTCAAACCTGATGAGCAGGAGTATCTAAAAATGATAGTTTTAGGTGATTCTAGATCATGTTTTCCATTAACCTCAAAAACACAGAAAAGTAAGTTGTTGTTAATGTTCATCCAAGTATTAAGTGCTGGGGCGCCTGGGTGGCTCAGTCGGTTAGGCGTCCAACTTTGGCTCAGGTCAGATGTCACAGTTCATGGGTACGAGCCCCGCGTCGGGCTCTGTGCTGACAGCTCAGAGCCTGGAGCCTGCTTCGGATTCTGTGTCTCCCTCTCTCTGTGACCCTCCCCTGCTCTTGTCTGTCTGTCTGTCTGTCTCTCTCTCTCTCAAAACTGAGTAAACAAAAAAAAAGTAAAAAATGATTTACACTCTTAGGAACCTCCCCCCAACCCTGCCACCGCCATCACGTCTGGCAACCACCAATCTGCTCTCTGTATCTATAACCTTGAGTGTGTGTGTGTTTTTTTTAATTCTATATGTAAGTGAGATTACGTGGTATTTCTCTCTTTCCGTCCTGTTTCACTTACAATAATGCCCTCAAGGTCCATATATATTGTTGCAAATCGCAAGATTCCAATTCTTTTTTCAGATGAATAATATTCCAAGTGTGTGTGTGTATCACATTTCCTTTATGTTTTTATCGCGTCTTAGAGGCCATCGTAAATAATGCGGCAGTGAACATAGAGGTGCATATGTTTTTGTGAGCTACGTGTCCTTCAGATAGAAACCCAGAGGAATTGCCTGATTGTGTGGGCAGCTCTTTTTTAAAATTTTTTCATATTGTTTTTCCACAGTGGCTGCGCCAGTTTACCTTCCCACAAGCAGTGCAGGAGGGGTCCCTTTGCTCCGTGTCGTCACCAACACTTGTTATTTCTTGACTTTTGATAATAGCTGTTCCAGCAGGGGTGGGTGATAGTTCATTTGCATTTCCCTGACTACGAATGATGTGGAGCATCCGGTTGTGTGTCCGTTGGCCATCTGCGTGTCACCTTTAGAAAAATACCTGTTCAGGGGCACCCTGATGGCTCAGTCGGTGAAGCGTCCGACTTCGGCTCAGGTCATGATCTCACAATTAGTGAGTTTGAGCCCCACATGAGGCTCTTGAGATCACGGGGCAGAGCCTACTTTAGATTCTATCTCCCTCTCCTTCTCCCCTCCTCCTCCCCCCTGCTTGTGTGTGCCTGTGTATGTGTGCTCGTGTGCTCTCAAAAAACCAAAATAAACCAAAAAAAGGAAAAATACCTGTTCAGATCCTCTGCCCATTTTTTTTTCATCGTATCATTTATTTTTGTGCTCTTGAGTTGTAGGAGTTCTTCATATATTCTTGGATGTTAGCCCCTCATCAGGTAGGAGATTTACAGAAATCTCCTTGGGGCGCCTGGGTGGCTTAGTCGGTTAAGCGTCCGACTTTCGCTTAGGTCATGATCTCGCGGTTCGTGGGTTCGAGGCCCGCGTCGGGCTCTGTGCTGACTGCCAGCTCAGAGCCTGGAGCCTATTTCAGAGTCTGTGTCTCCCTCTCTCTCTGACCCTCCCCTGCTCACACTGTCTCTCTCTCTCTCCTAGAAATAAATAAAAATATTAAAAAAAAAAAATCTCCTGTTCACCAACGCATCATCCTTTGGCAAGCAGCTATTGCCCTGGCCATATACAATCCTGGCAAAATGTTAAAGCTCAAGCAACAAATTCGGGATAATAGTTACCTCTGGACAGGGAGGCAGGGGCGTGAGAGAGGGCTTCATCGTGATCTGAAATGTTTTTTCAAAATTTTTTTAATGTTTGTTTTTGAGACAGAGACAGAGCGTGAGCAGGGGAGGGGCAGAGAGAGAAGGAGACGCTGAACCTGAAGCAGGCTCCAGGCTCTGAGCTGTCAGCACAGAGCCCGACGCGGGGCTCAAACCCACCAACCGTGAGGTCGTGACCTGAGTCCAAGTTGGACGCTTCACCGACTGAGCCACCCAGGCGCCCTTGAAATATTTTTTTTTTAAATTCAGGGCTGTGGGTGGATGTTCGTTATATGATCTGCTATGTACTACCATAAATATTCACGTTTATTTGTTTTTTAAAATGTTTGACAGAGGGCGCACACATGAGTGGGGGAGGGGCAGAGAGAGGGGGGGGGAGAGAGAGAATCCCAAGCAGGCTTCGCACTGATGTGGGGCTCGATCCCACGACCACCATCACAACCTGAGCAGATATTAAGAGTCGGGTGCTTAACCCACTGAGCCACCCAGACGCCCCTATTCACATTCGTTATGTATATTCAATTATTATTGATATTTAGCTCCTTGTGCACAGGGGCAAAGGATATTTGGGAATGGACTTCCTAGGCGGTGGGGAATATACACTTTTCACGTCCCTAGGTATAGCTGGATCTCTTCTCCAGAGGGACTGTCTCTTTTAAAAACTTTCCTACTAGCAGGTGCACGCGAGTCCGTGTCGGCCCACATCTTTGCCAGCCCTTGGTAGTGCCATCCCAGATCCCCAGAAAAGACGGGAGGGCAGTGAAGGAAAGGGACAGCAAGGCTTTAAAATTGGGATGACAGTGTCCACCCTGAGGACTTGTCCAGTTAATGTTTATTTTAACGAGGAGAAGCTTTTATTTTCTGCGTTGGTGAAAAGAACATTTAGACTTCTGTGGCAAAACCTTTACATTTTTCTACTCTGAAGTAGAAGCCTTTTTTCCTTCCCTGTTCGCACTCTTAGCAAATAAGTAGAATAGACCAGTTAGCAAACTAATGTTCTAAATGTTCACTGGCGGTCGTAGTTATTTTCAGCCGTTTTAAATAGCATGGAGCGCTGGGTTTATTCTTCTTGCTTTTCAAAGTTTTGAATTTGCTAAAAGGAATTGAAAATGTGGCACAACTTTCTGGGTAAAGATCGTAATTTTTTTTTTTTTTGGCCGCTCAAATATCCATTTTGTAATGGGCAAAATAAGCTATAGGAGATGTGTTTACCTTTTCAAACAAGTAAGGCACCGGACACCTGGGTGGCTCAGTCGGTTGCGTGTCCGACTCTTGATTTCAGCTCGGGTCGTGATCTCATAGTCGTGGGATCGAGCCGCACGTTGGGTTCCGCGTTGGGCATAGAGCCCGCTTCAGATTCTCTCCCTTTTCTCCTTCTCTCGCTCTCTCTCAGCCCATTCCCCCCCATCAAAAACAAGAAACAAAAACAAAACCGGCAAGATAAGACGTAAAGAGTAACTTCAGCCGTTTTCTGTTGTCCCTTGTGTTTACAGGTGGGAAAGGAGAAGTTTCACAAATCTCAACATTGGGGCTTTTGCAACAATGTTCGGATGCTGGTGAGTGAAGATAAACCTGGAATTGGTGGAGAACCACTTCCTGGGCAAAAGCCGAAGCCTAAATACAGTGAATATCCTAGAGGAATGGGCAGCTCTTTGCCATCCTGGGTCGCTTTTGATAAGCAGGTAAGTCACATGACATTGGGAGACACCCAAAAAGTAAGACACATTCGAGAACAAAAGTACCGTTGAGGGCGCCTGGGTGGCTTGGTCATGAAGCATCCAGCTCTTGGTTTCGGGGCTCAGGTCCTGATCTCTCGGTCCGTGAGTTCGAGGTGTGCATCGGTCGGTGCAGAGCCTGCTTGGGATTTTCTTTCTCCCTCACTCCCTGTCTCTGTCTCTTTCCTGGTCTCAAAATAAATAAGTGGACTTTAAAAGTACCCTAAGCAGGGGCGCCTGGGTGGCTTAGTCGGTTAAGCGTCCGACTTTCGCTTAGGTCATGATCTCGCGGTTCGTGGGTTCGAGCCCCGCATCGGGCTCTGTGCTGACTGCCAGCTCAGAGCCTGGAGCCTGTTCAAGTCTGTGACTCCCTCTCTCTCTGACCCTCCCCTGCTCACACTGTCTCTCTCTCTCTCCTAGAAATAAAATAAAACATTAAAAAAATAAAATAAAATAAAAAAAATAAAAGTACCCTAAGCAAACCAAAGTCATCCCTGCTTCCGTGTAGGACCCCAGAAGGTCACCTTTCTGGCCTAATGCTTATCAGCTTGCGCCGCCCCCCCCCCCCCGTAGCCACTTAGAGTCTGGTCAGAGTGTCACTTTGGCTTAGTGAGTTGCCGTTAACTAAGTCATTTTGTTTGACTTGAAATGTGCCATTAAATATCTTAATTATGGTTCCCCATCCCTGTGAACCAAAGGGTGACAGGGCAAGAATTCTAGAAGTGAAGGAAAAAGGGGCCCTTGTTAGAGAAGAGTCTGAACTTAATGTATATGTTTGTGCACATAACACACACACGTACGATGGCGCATTGATCGCTGTAACGTCAGTGCATTTGAATATCTTAAAAGGGATTAGGATCAAATAACCACAAGGCGACCAGTCATTTCCCATAAGACAGCAGAATAGATCTGCCATGTTTGTCGCACAGACCTGTATCATGGCCTCATGCTCTGTTATCCATAAAGGAACTTGTCATTAGATTATTTAGGTCCTGTAATTAAAAAATAACTCGGGACTAGAAAAAGAATTGAAACCTTAATAGGATTAGTTTACCGGGTGGTTTTTAGCAGCCTTTGCATGGATTCGTTGGCAATACTCTGATTCCAATTAAAATGTCTTCACATTTGGTAGAAGTGACATATTCTGCGTCATCTGTGTTCGAGTCGATCAATTAGAGCACTTTTTTTTTTGAAGCCCAGTTCTGACACTTATGGAGATCTAACAGACTGCAGGGAATCTTCTTTCCAGGGAGAGAGCCCATCTCTGCTTTGAACATGGACCATTATTTCTGTCTTTCTCTTTAAATTAAAAAAATTATTTTCGGTACCTGACGAACTCTGGACCCAGAGTTCACAAGCAATTTCTGGGCCAGCCTACCTGGATGGACCACGCATAGTTTCCCGTTAATATCCATCTTCTGGGTGTTTGCACATCATCATTCTAGAATATTTAATTTGCGAGGGACAAAGAAAAGATTCTATTTTTACTTCTTGTGTCAAAAAGAGGGTATTGACAATAGTTTAAACGAATCCACCGCTGAATAAGTAATGGTGTAGGTGGCAATATATTAAACCTTTCTCTTGCATTGAAAGTTGAAAATTCATTTTATTTCATGTTTTTCTCAATGTTTAATAAGTGCCTTTCAAACCTATTTTGCAGCCCTTTAATTACTTATAAAATTAGGTAGAATATTTCATGAAGTTGGAATAATTTTAGCTTGAAACTACTCGAGAAAATGAAGAACTTGCTCATTTTAGCCTAACTAAATGCAACATCATTCTTTCAGTTATTTTGTTGGTCAACTTCAATTAAATATTCATTGAGCTTTAAATGAGACACTAAGACTATGAAATATTTACGTGCTCTGATGAGATTGTGAGCTACAGACTGGTTAATACGCAGAGCAGATTATAAAGCGCGTTCCACGTTTGCGGTTCAACAAAACAAATCAACACCTGTTAATCATTTTCCTTACTAATGAGACATTTCTAACTCATTGCCAGTTTTCCTAATAGCTTTTAATCATTGCAGTATATCTAGGGTTATAGTCTCGAGCCATAAAAAGTAGACATAAAGGCAGTTCTTGGGAAAGGGTATCGAAATCTAATGGTTTTCTTTTTTTAAGTTTAGTTATTTTGAGAGAGACAGAGACGGTGCGAGTTGCGGTGGGGTAGAGACAAAGGGAGAGAGAGAGAGGATCCCCAAGCAGGCTTCATGCTGTCAACACAGAGCCCAACGTGGGGGGTCAAACCCACGAACAGTGAGGTCACGACCTGAGTCGAAATCAAGAGTCGGAGGCCTAACCGACTGAGCCATCCAGGTGCCGCTCAATATCTAATGTTTGTAATAGATGCCCCTGGCACTCACCCAGATCCACGTTTGGCGTCGGGCACCCATCTCAGCAACTTCAGCATGTGCTTTGGCAAACAGCTCACACGTGTAACCCTCCGTGGTGTGTTACTTCCTGGCCTTTGGGCATTGCATACTTACCCGGAGAAACCCGGATGATTGCACTGGTTCCTTCCCCCCAAGAGGAGGCAACAAAAGGCTGATGGTTTGTCAAGGGGAAACAGATGAGCTGCTTCGGGGGGCGGACCAGTCGGTTGAGCTTCCGACTTCGGCTCCGGTCACGATTTCAACAGTTTGTGCGTTCGAGCCCCACCTCGGGCTATCTGCTGTCAGTGCAGATCCTGCTTCAGCTCCTCTGTCCCCCTCTCTCTGCCCCTCCCTGCTTGCGCTCTCCCAAAACGTAAATAAATATTTAAAAAATAAATAAAACTGAGCCTCTTCAAGGCTGGACAACCGCGTATTGTGGATTTAGGCCCCAGCCCCTTGTGCATCAGGTCAAGGCCAAACTTTACATGAGATCGCATCCTTGCTTGGCTCATTTCCCTTCCCTTGGGTGCTCCTCTCTTGAGAAGTTTCCCCTCGAAGAGTGTGCCCTTTGTAAATCACACGCACCTAAATTCCCATTTTAGGCCTTGCTTCTGTGGAGCCTAACCTAAGAGAACATTCTGGGCTTCATCTGTGCTGCAGGCACCGAGCTGTCCGCCCAGAGCCTGCCACAGGGCTCGAACTCCCGAACCGCAAGATCATGCCCTGAGCAAATGTGTGCAAGTGTTTTGAGTTGTTGAGGCAAGTGGGGCCCTTGCCTTGGGTGCAGACTTCAAGGAGTACCCCAGAGCTTGGGAATCAAGCCAGACAATTATTTAATGGACGTTCTCGAAGACTCACAATCAGTGCCAACATTCACGATGAACAGCATAGCAGTATCTTAAACAAAGACAGGCTCAGGACCTGCCGCTCTGAGCCATGTTGGAGGCTGGGGCAAAAGGAAACCCCAGTACTACCGATCCCGTCTTCCTTAAACATCTCGGAATTGGGGGTTTTGCTTCTCATGGAATTTTTGCATTCGTTGGGATGTTTTGAATCGCCTTGGCCTTGGGCAGTCCGTGGTCCGCAGATACTGCCGCTCTTGTGTAGCTGGGGGCGGCTGTGTGTTTTGCCTCCTGCGATATGGGGGGGGGGGGCAGCCCCAGAGAGGGGAGGAGAACGTCCTTCCTAAAACGGCAGCCCTGCTGCCATTGAGAAACATTGAGAAACATGGTTGTCCCTGCGAAACTCCCTGGCACCCAGTGGCAGGATTTATGCAAATGGCCAGTCATCCCGGCACCTCCACCAGGAAGAAGCAAGCGTGGACAACTGTTCTCTCCATAAATGAGGAGTCATTTGTAAGAAGCAGGCAGAGACCAGTGTTGTGCGGCCGTGTGTTCGGAGGCACTGGAATGAACTATCCGTGTGACTGTGGCTTAGTCACTTTACCTCTGAGTCTCTGTTACCTTGAGCATAATGAGGGCCTGGGCTGGCTGATTACGGTTTTTCTTTTAAAATTTTTTAAAACATTTATTTATTTTGAGATAGAGCACAAACAGGGAAGGGGCAGAGAGAGGGGGAGAGAGAATCCCAAGCAGGCTCTGCGCTATCAGCACAGAGCCTGACGCCGGGCTCCAACTCCCAAATGGTGAGATCATGACCTGAGCTGAAATCAAGTGTCCGACACTTAACCGACTGAGCCCCCCAGGTGGCCCTACTGGCTGATTTCTAAAGTCCTTTTCCCTCTGGCAGCCCCACGCTTAAGACTTCAGTCTCCACGAATGCCATTTAGTCTGTGACTACAGGCAGATTCCACTTGTTCATCCCAGAACTGAGCCCAGATCCTGGGTCTCCTGGGCTGGGGTTCTTTCTAATTATACCAGGTACCCACATTATTAATCAAAGTTTAGCATTTAGTAGTTGACGCTCTGCTGCTGTTACTGCATATGATCTATTATTAGCTGCTTTTATAAAAAGGCAGACTGGTTAGAAATACTCAAATGACTGCATGTTTTTATGACTTTTATCTGGATGTTAAGTGCCATTTGCATCAACTCTACAATTATACTCTCATTTCTTTTCATTTGGCAGTGGCTCCTAGTTAGCCTAATTTGTTTGCTATTTTGCAAATGACTATTCTAGTAAGTGACAGGATAAAGGTTGATTGCATGGGAGATGCAGGCATTAAAAAATATTTGATGTTTTCCACCTATTGCAAACATCATCCTCATAATCAGAACTACTGGCCACAGAATTAGAATTTTAATAACTTTGCATTCATTGACCTTGGGTTTGGGGTAAGCTGATTATGTGGTACTGTGTGAATCTTTACACTTTGAACACTAGAACAATAAATTTTTTTAAAACCAAACTTGATCTCGCATTATCTCTTTTATTTCTTAAAAAAGTGTCAGTATTTTTTTTTTTTTGATGTGTCCTTGACATATGAGGTTTTGTTAGTTTCAGGATTACAACCTAGTGATTCCACATTTCTGTATATTAGGAAGTGATCACCACGGCAAATCTAGCTACCATCTGTCACCATACGGAGTTGTTACACCATTAACAACTCTGCTGTGCATTACATCCCTGT